AAACACTGGGGCCAATTCAAGTTGTGGTTTTCACTGACTCTTTTAAGCTGGTGTTTTCTTCATCGCCATAGCAACTTCAGCTAGTTTTTGCTCTTGATTTTTAATTGTCCTAGAAAAACTTAATGCACACCAATGGTTAGGCTGTTGAGGTTAGTAAGAAATATCTTTGGTAAGTAAGTTAAAAGGCAGAAATGCTTTGTGCTGTGTGTAGAAATTGGCTATTTTGAGCTAACTGGTATGCATTTCATTAATGTTCTTCTGAGACATCTGCATACCAGTTAGCTCAAAACAGCTAAGTTCTCTTGAATGAAAGGGATGATTTCAAAGTTCCCATTGCAAAGTAGGTACTTAATTCTACCACCAGTCCATCCTCCAACTTTACCAAGCTTGCCATGGGTGGTTTTTCTTTAGTTTCTTTGAATTGAAAGCACAGATGACTCTGCTATCCATCAGAAAGTTGTCCTTGATTTTAGACCCATTTCTAATGATAGAAGTCCTGTGGTCTACACCTGCATAATCACCCCATTTGCTTTCTAGTTTAGCCAGCTTCTCATTGAAAATGCCAGCCCTGTTCAAGACTCAGCTGATTTCTTCCCACACATTCCTAATGCTGGTGTCAACAGAGGCTGACAAACAGTGCTGTACTAGTAAGACTAGGATGCCAAAACACAGAATTTACTTTCCATTTCTAGAATACGATTTTTCTCCTTTCTCATTTATGTCCCTGTGCCCCCCATATGATCTTTGTTTGGCCCCGCTCAATTTTTTGTTGTTAATCCTTACCCCAGGACATTTTTTCCCCATTGATTTTTAGAGAGTGGAAGGAAGGGGGAGAGAGACATCAGTTGGATTGACTGCCTACAACATGTGCCCCCACTGGGATGGGGATGGAGCCTACAAGTCCTGGACCAGAACCCAAGACCCTTCAGTGCACAGGCCCAAGCTCGGGTGGTCCTGCTCACCTTTAGCCTTCTCTGACACACTTTCTACCCCAACAGGAGGAAAGGCTTGGTTTTATAAAAAGTGAGAATATTCAGACCGCAAATATGACCTCCTTGGTTTATTTTGGTTTGAAATATTTTAAGGTTTTCTGGCTCTCTTGTATGTATGTGCATATTGAACAGCTTTGTCTTCAAATTGAGTATTGAGGTATTAGGCATCCAAAAATGATAGGTTTTCCCTTTCTTGCAGAACTTCGAAGTATGTGTCGTATCATTTTGCCCTTTAGTAGTCCAGTTCTGCTAATCCATTGAATTTACAATCTCAGTGGAGTGTATCTTTTTTGCAGTCACATTCTTAGTGTCCAGCAAACTATAGTTAAGAATTTTCAGGTGACGCTATATTTTTAGTAATTGTCTTTGGTTTCCAATCCCAGAGGAGGAAGAGCAACTAGCTTCTCTGCATGTAACTCCTTTATTACTGGAGTTTGTTTTGTCTCAAGTATTGCTACTGAGTATTTTATTTAAGGTACTCTGAGACTTTGTGTTTTTCAGATTAACAGTTTAAGTAACTTTTACTAGCATATCTTCCACGTTCCAGAAATAAAAACATTTATATGCCACAGATTACTTGAAAACCTGTTTCTTCTTTAGCCCAGGCAGTGCCCCCTGCATTCGCCTCTGAGTCCGCCCATGTCGGCGCAGCACGCTTCCTCTTTCCTGACAGCTCCTGCAGAAAAGGCTGTGGGGGCAAGTAACTGATGCAGCTACTTCTTCTGAGTCTTGCCATTGAAATCTCTAACTGGGTGTGGCTAGGGAAGAACATTTCACTTTACAAACCAGAGTTCCTGTGTTCTAACCATTGGAAACATATTTTTTGTTATTCATGCACAGTTTCTGACTCATCATTCCAGGACTTTTGCAATGAATTAGACATTTTATTTATACCCTTTTGTAGAAGGAGGGGTCTAGTTTCTAATTAACATTTATGTCTATAAGACAAGTTTCACCTGCTCTCCAAAAGCTATCAAAAAAAGTGTTCCTATGAAACCTTTTATAAGCCGAAATGGTGTAAATCGAAGAAGCAATTACCATTAATTTATATGGGGAAAAATTTGAGCACTCCCAGACCCAAAAAATAACAGACGGACCAAATAACACATAAAGCCTAAGCAGTGCCACTCACTGCTCTGGGTGTGTGCTGCCCTGTAACAGCTCATTGCAGAACATGCTGAACATTTTTCAGTTTTTCGTAAAAGTGGAAATTTCTTTGGATTTCTTTCTGTTAACCTAAACAGGTACTGGGGTAGGTCTTTCGTAAAAGTGAGGAGACATAACTCAAAGCACAAGGGATGCCTATTGTATTAGGATTGCTATCTGACTTACGAGTATTAGTATTTCAAGACATTTTGTTTCCTGGTGAATATATTAATTATAAACACCGAGTAAGGGAAAGTAACATTTTCCCCCACTTAACACATTGCAGATGAATCATGAGAATTCTCACTGCATATTACACAGTGTTTTACAAAGTATCATACTTTAAAAAGACATTAGCTTGTAAGAACATGTAATAAATAACTTCAAAATGCAATAGGTATTTAATTTTAAAACGTTTTTTGTACTCGTTCAATGGAAACTTATCTGGCCACTGAGTAAAGCTAGCAATAAAACTACTGGTCCGCGGTGTGTTAAGACAGCAAGCAAAATTAAAATGACTTAGTGACTACTTCCATGGGCTCTAAAGGTAATGAAAAACGTGCTTTATGTGGAATAGGAGGAATACTAACTAATAGTAAACTATTTTACTATCCCCATGAATTTATCTTGAGAAAAAAGGAAATCAAGGTTCATTAAGCCTCACGCATTGTCCTGTGCAATCCTGACACGAAGCCGAGGAGCAGTGCTCGCACTCCCCAGGTGAGCAGGTGCTCCCGGCCCGGCCCCCTGGGGCCCTGCTTAGGAAGTGCTGGACACTGCATCCAAGCCAGGCCCCTGGCCTAACACCATTTCCTCCTTTCATTTAAAGACACAATACTTAGGTTGTTTTGTTTTGTTTTTCTATGTAGAGGCTTGGAGGAGACAACTTGGTCTTCCCAGAAGATAAACCCTCTACTTTGCTTTATGAGGCAGATAACAACTCCAAACCATGGACAGGGTGGAACCTGCACAGGCCTCAATGCAAATACTTGGTCTTAATATTATAAATTTTATTGTTTTTGTCTGTAGTATATTTTAGGTGCTAGTACTTTAGCTTTTCAGTACTTTTTAGTCTTTGCACTTCGGGTGAATTATGTAGAACTTACATGTATATCAGAATTTAGTGGCCCTGGCTTTTCTCTTTCCACCTTAAGTTTTAAGTGTCAAGAAATATTCATATATTATTCAACATGTGTTTGAGTGTCTAATACATGCCATTTCCTGTATGAAACATCAGGAATTAAAGCAGTAAATAAAGCAGTCTTCATGGGCAAGCCAGCAGGTCAACACGTAGATAACGAAGTCAGGGTAAAACGTAAAGTAAGATAGAAGGGGCTAGAAAGCAGGGGTGTGGAAGAGGTGCTATTTTAAATAGGATGGTCAGGGAGGGCTTCTTGGAATGAAAAGTTTGTAACAGGGACCTTAGAAATGGGGAAGGAAGCAGGCTGTGCAGACATTGGCTATTTGCTAAAAAATAATAATACACCTGTTATTTCTCAGTCTTAGCATCTTAATAACAAGTTTATTCCACAAATGTTCTGAGAACCCATTCTAAGAGGTCGCCTCTCTAAATGTAATCATTTTACTTTTCTAATAAGCCACAGACACATGTTCAGCTTCAGAATTTGCTGTTTATAATCACATACACAATAGATAAAATTATCTTAAAACATAATTTATGTATAAATAGATGTTTTCTGAGACATAAGAAACTAGCTTTTAAAAATGACAAGGGAAGTTTCCTTAAACTGCCAGTTCATTAGCTATTATATATTTCTATCTGGAATTCTTTTTCCCCAGAATTCTTTGAGATGTCCTTGGGTCCCCCGTTTCCTGGGCCTCTCAGTGGAAGTTGTACCCAGCTTCATCCAGACACCCTTGATGATGCACAAATACACACAGTGTCAGGGAGCCCCAACCAGAGCGCAGACACTCAGGCCTTCTTCCTTGGGGTTGAGAAGCAATGGACTATGGAGTGCATAACATGGCTTAACCCTACACAACTTAGAAGGGTGATTGATCAAGACTCCTAAAACCTAAGTAGTGGGCATACCTACCTTCTGTGTCCCCTCTACCAAGCACCTATGCTTCTAAATACAGGGACATTAAGACTTAAAGTTGCCTATCTGGTTGGCCACCCACCCATCCTTGCAGAAAGAGTGAAAAGAATTGTCCCCAGGAAGGAGAAATGGCTTTCTCAGCTCTCTCATTTCTTGGTTAAGAGAGGCTGGCAGTGGGTGAGGAGAGGAAGGTTCTCTGAATATACCCATTTGGAGCTAAAACCTCTATTTAGCCTCCTGATATCGAAGTTGGATCTGTCGTACTTGTTGACTATCCATTTGCCCATATCTTTATGTCGTCAAAAAGCAAATTCCTTGAACTCCCCACTACCAAATCACCCAAACCAAAAAGTAAAATAAAATAAAACTTTGAGTTAGTTGCATTCCTAAAAGTGTAAAAATCATTTATTTGAAGGTAATTTCTTTCTTGTGAAATCATAGTTACTATTACTTCTTACTGGATTATCAGTCACTGAAGGACAGGTTCTTATTCCTCTCTAAATCCCCAGGAACTCTATTTGATGCTCTTAGCTACTCCTGCCAGGGAGCAAAAGGGGCTTCAACACCTGTCTTTTTCTTTTTATCAGAATGCTTAAACCCCAAGTCAGTGCTCATCCTGGAGTGGTTTCTGGGTGTCCACTTCGCAGCTTTCTCTCTGGCGTTTCATATTGACTTTTCATCGTTAGCTTTTTGGAAATAACCAGGGTGTAAAATGTAAAAAGGGGGGACATTGTCTATTTGTAGCATTATTTTTTTAACCTGTTAGGATGTTCTAAATGCATTCCTTTCTTTCTCACTCCCCTCCCTTTTTTTAAACACTACAGGTATTCGTTACAGCACTGATGTGAGTGTAGATGAAGTGAAAGCTTTGGCTTCTCTGATGACATATAAGTGCGCAGTGGTTGGTAAGTGATCTCTTTTGTTGTTACCTAACGAGAGCTCTTTGGGGAAATATGTTTATTTACGAGGTTACTTTTAAGATGTTGGAAAAATATATTTTATCAGAAATGATTTTTTTTGTTTCACAGTTTAAGGCTTACATCATTTTTTAATTAATCTTAATTAAGATTTAGTCTTTTTTATATATATTTTTTTATTGACTTTTTACAGAGAGGAAGGGAGAGGGATAGTTAGAAACATCGATGAGAGAGAAACATCGATCAGCTGCCTCCTGCACACCCCCTACTGGAGATGTGCCCGCAACCAAGGTACATGCCCTTGACTGGAATCAAACCTGGGACCTTTCAGTCAGCAGGCCGACGCTCTATCCACTGAGCCAAACCGGTTAGAGCAAGATTTAGTCTTTTTTAATGTTTTTAAAATTGATTTTAGAGGGAAAAAGAGAGAGAAAGATAAACGTTGATCAGTTGCTTCTCATACACACCACAACCTGGGCATGTGCCCTGACCGGAATCAAACTGGCGACCTTTTAATACACAGGGCGACATTCAACCAATAGAGCCACACTGGCCAGGGCTAGATTTAACCTGTTTTCAAATGAGGAACTTTTTATACCATCTAATTGGATTTTCTTTAAGTATAGACCTTTGTTTAAGGCCCTTTCCGTATAATCTGGTGCATAAGAGCAGAAGGAAAATAAGTATGCTATTTGCTTTCAGAAATAGTCAAGCACACTGATTAAGTATGCATTGTAACTTGCCTGGGTTTATAATTTCTGTTCACTAGAATTTTAAAGTGCAGCATTTTAGAAGAGGTCAATGTGGGTTTATTGCTTGAATTTTCTGAAATTAAAGCTTAAATCATGCACATCTTTGTAATGTTGCATAGTGCTTTCTTCCTTTTTAAGTTTGTTATCCTTTCTTTGGAATAACAACTTTCAGCCTTCTATTTCAGATGTGCCGTTTGGGGGTGCCAAAGCTGGTGTTAAGATCAACCCCAAGAACTATTCCGTAAGTATCACCATGACATCTGTGCATGTGGTGCATTGGCAAAGGACTTGAAATTACTAGGTGTCTATGCCCCCCTCCCCCAATACCAGTGAGGTTGATGGCCTCTGTCCCTTTTAAAAGGAATGGAAAAGCAAGTAAATACTCGTTGAGTGTTTGCCATATAAAAGGTCATCTGCTTAATGTCAGTTTTCATACTTGGTTAAGAGGTAATTAATACCTTCATATTCTTAGGCACTTATACTTATATTTATAAATTACTATGATCTGAGATTTGTGTATTAGGATCTCAAGATTCCAGTGACAAATATCTTACCTAATCTGATAAAAATCTTACTGTTTATGCTCAGTTCCAAGATAATTAAGTTAGTTGTTGTTAAGCTTTTTATAGTACCAAATTAACATCTGTACACAAACATAATAAATATGTGATTTTATTCTTTTAAATATTTGCCCTTTAAATGAAAATAGACCATAGGGAGTGCTCATATGATTTTATATTCATAAAGAGAACAGGAACTAGGATTTGAGCCCTACTTCTGTTGTTTGTATAACCTAATATCTGAGCTCTCATTTCTTTATCTTTAAAATGCCTGCTTTATGAGTTGTTCTGAAAAAAAACAAGCTATATGAAAATGTTCTATAAATAGAAAATATGATGCAGCTAGCTTTTCTACAGGTGGCTTTCCTATCAAAGTCTTTTTCGTTTTTGGTTTTTCTCTTTATAGGATAATGAGTTGGAAAAGATCACAAGGAGGTTCACCATGGAACTGGCAAAGAAGGGCTTTATTGGTATGTGTTGCCATGGAGGTTTCCACATAGAATGGGGCCATCTCAAAAGTAATTGTCTTAATTTGAACCGGTACATGGATAGGGCTCCCTTTTTACTTTGAGAGAGAGATGGGTTCTATGAGGAATATGGTGAAATACCCAGGCCTCTTTATGACACGTCTCTCGTAGGAAATTCCAGTTCCCACTGTGCAGTTTGGACACCAGGAGAGGCTCCTCCATCCCTTCTCTTTGGACACAGTGAAGGGTTCTGGTCCTCTAACAGCATTTTACAGTCTATTGTAACTTCCAGAAACACTGGGGCCATATTTTTAGGAACTAAATAATACCCGTATTATAAAGATTTTCACATCTGTAAAAGGCATTTTTACAGTAGTAACCCTGATAGCAGTGAAAAATCTGGTGCCTTTTGAAATTGGAGACTTCAGCATGCCTGTGCCTTCAAAGCAGAGGGCCAAGCCGAGACGGGAGGCTCACACTGGTGGCTCCCTGCTGCCACTGGCTGATTTTGAGGGCTCCTGACATTCTTGTTTGTTCCTGGGAGCTTTTGCCAGACTACATTTCTGAAGGTACTGATCCTCGTTTGGTTGATGTTTTAGAGCAGTGATGGTGAACCTTTTGAGCTCGGCGTGTCAGCATTTTGAAAAACCCTAACTTAACTCTGGTGCCGTGTCACATATAGAAATTTTTTCATATTTACAACTATAGTAAAACAAAGACTTATATTTTTGATATTTATTTTATATATTTAAATGCCATTTAACAAAGAAAAATCAACCAAAAAAATGAGATCACGTGTCACCTCTGATATGCGTGTCATAGGTTCGCCATCACTGTTTTAGATCGTACTAATAATTACCTGTGTCATATGTTCTTTTTGAGAAATAGGAATATTCTTTTCTGTGATATATGAATATTCAATCTTTAATTAGCAAGCACTGAGTCTATATATTTCTCTTCTTGTTCTAGAAATGTTTTCATTTGTTTTAATAAAATCAAATTACTTACTAGAATGTTTGCCTTTTCAACATAGTCAAACTAAAGAAGACTAACAGGAAAGATCTACTTTTTCTCTATTCCTGTCCCTGTGGTTTTCTCCCCAACATTCCCCCCTCTGTTCATAAATTCCTATGAACTTAAGATATCCCTATTGTGAAATTGGCCCTATTTTTTAGGGGGGAAGGGAGAAGAAGGGTATGACTTAAATAAACTAATAAAAATAAGTGTAGATCATACTAGAACTTGAGTAGATTTGACCTACCGTGAATGTATTTCAAAGGCATTTGGATTCTTGGCATGCCTCCTCTTCTTGAACACCACTGTGGGCTTAAACGAGTTAGTGAGCTGACTGCCTCCTGCATAGGAGTGCCTACTCATCCTGAGATTTGTAAATTGAAGTCATGTTCAGCCAATTGATAGTATTCAGAATTTTTTGTGTCATTTCCTCTTCTCTGAAATCTCAGAAGTATTTAATAGTCTTGAGTTATATTATACTTTATTAAGTTGTAGTTATTGCCCATTATCCAGAGTTTATTCAACTTAATTTTCTCTATATTGACAAGTATCTTACAGTTCCAAAGGTTAAAAAGTGATTCTTTGAAACACTGAAACCTTAAGTACTAGCAATTTGACTTCTTTTGTGCAAAAGCCTCATTCCTTATTAACCCACAGTGCAACTCACCCGGACCTCTGGGCTAGCGAGCTTCGTAGCATAAGAGGGAAGCAAGATTTCTCTCTCTCCCTCCAGGGCACAGAACTAGTCTTGGGAAAACCTGTGGAATTTAAGTTATTTCTCTTCTTTTCTGACTTCCCTCTCCACAGTTTCAGGTTGCAATTTTAACCTGAGTCTGAGACCTGGCCCTCTCACATTGGACAAGCTTTACAATTTCTGCAAAAAAAAGTCAGCTGGGATGCTGTGAGGGATAGCATTGAATCTGAACACAGTGGAGTGTTGCTGTCAAAACCATATTAAGTCTTCCAGTCCATGAACACTGAATATTTTTCCACTTGTTTAGGTGTTTGATTTCTTTCAGTGATATTTTATAGTATTCAGAGTACAAGTCTTAAACTACCTTTTGAAAGTTTATACATAAGCTTTTTATTCTTTTTGATATTCTAAGGAATATTAGTCTGAAGGATTCTTGTGAGGTCTTTTATTATTGTTGTTAATCCTCACCCAAAGATATTTTTAGAGAGAGTGGAAGGGAGGAGGAGAGACAGAGAGAAACACCAATCAGTATAAGAGACACACAGATTGGTTGTCGGAGCACTTGCCCCAACCAGGGCTGGGGATCAAGTGTACAACTGAGGTATGTGTCCTTGACCAGAATCGAACCCAGGACCCTTCAGTCCATTGGCCGGCACTCTATTCACTGAGCCAAACCGACTAGGGCTCTTGTGAAGTCTTTGATATCAGATAGTGACTAATAGAATAAGTCAAGAAGTATTCTTTCCTCTTCTATATTTTTTTAATTTGTGAAATAGGGTGTTAATTGTATGAATTTAGATATCCTCTTTATAAACTGTTAAGTTTACAATCTTTTACTTTGTAAAAAAAATACCCTTGCAGTAACCTAATGTTCCCGTTAGTGCCCTTTTGTCAGAGGATGAGGCTAGAATATAGCGTTACTCCTTCTAAGCATGAGAGTCGTGTGGGGTGAGGGTAGGTTTGGACAGTTAGATTTCCTGAGCTTTATAAGATGCCTTAAGAAAGCTACCAAGGCATAGAGTTCCAGATTGAGTTGGGGAGGAGGGCAGAGTGAGGGAAGTAAACCATGGTCATTTCAACGTTGTCTTATACCAGTTTTTATCCATTGCATCCTAACCTGTACAAAGCAGTGCAGTGTAGACCTTGGCCCCTGAAATGTAGAACCTTAAAATGTACCTTATATTGCTGGTTTAAAAGTAAAAATTATAGAAAGAACTTGAATACAATTCTTAGAATGATCTTTATTTTGGAGAGACTTAATAGTTTAACCATTTTTTAAAAATATGTTTTTAATTGATTTCAGAGAGGAAGAGAGAAGTAGAGAGAGAGAAACATCAACGATGAGAGAGAGTCATTGATTTCCTGTCTCCTGCACCCCCCACTCTGGGGATCAAGCCCACAACCAGGGCATGTGCTCTGACTGGGAATCGAACTGTGACCTCTTGGTTCATAGGTTGACACTCAACCACTGAGCCACACCGGCCAGGCAGTTTAACCATTTTTTAAGTTGTGTTTTTCTTTTTATAAAGATGAGCTTTTTGTTTTGTTTTGTTTT